TATAGCAGGAATATTCCTCAATACAATCAAGGCAAACCCACAACCAGCATCTTATTGAATGGGGAAAAGTTGGAAACATTTCCACTAAGATCCAGAACCAGACAAGGATGCCCATTTTCACCACTGTTATCGAATACAGTCATGGAAGTTTAACCAAAGTCATTAGGCAAGAAAAAGAAATAAAAGGGATACAAATTGGAAAGGACAAAGTCAAATTATCCTTATTTGCAGAAGACATGATTCTATATATAGGGAAATCAACAGACTCCATTAAGAGACTATTGGAACTCATAAAAGAGTTTGGTAAAGTGGCAGGATATAAAATTAACACACAAAAATCAATAGCCTTTGTATACACAGACAATGCCATGGCTGAGGAAGAATTTCTAAATTCAATCCCATTCACAATAGCTACAGAAAAAATTAAATATCTTGGAATACATTTACTCAAGGAGGTAAAAGATCTCTATGATGAAAATTATAAAACATTTTAAAAAGAAGTAGAAGACACAAAAAATGAAAAATCTTCCATGTTCATGCACTAGAAGAATTAATATCATCAGAATGTCCATACTACCAAAAGCAATTTACAGATTCAATGAGATCCCAATCAAAATACCAATGACATTCTTCTCAGATCTAGAAAAAAAAATGATGCTATAATTCATATGGAAACACAAGAGAACATGAATAGCTAAAACAATCTTATACAACAAAAACAAAGCTGGAGGCATCACAATACCAGATTTCAAGACATACTATAAAGCAATTATAATCAAAACAGCCTGGTACTGGCACAAAAACAGACATGTAGAACAATGGAACGGAATAGAAACTCCAGAAATCAATCCACACATCTACAACCAACTAATCTTTGACAAAGGAGCTAAAATCAATCCCTGGAGAAAGGATAGTCTCTTCAACAAATGGCACAAGGAAAATTGGATCTCCATGTGCAGAATTATGAAACAAGACCCCTACCTTACACCTTATACAAAAATCAACTGAAAATGGATCAAGGATCTAAATCTATGATCTGATACCACCAAATTACTAGAGAGGAACATTGGGGAAACTCTGCAAGACACTGGAACAGGCAAGGACTTCTTGAAAAAGACCCCAGAAGCACAGACAACCAAAGCCAATAGACAAATGGGATTAAATCAAGCTGAGAGGCTTCTGCACTGCAAAAGAAACACTCAGCAAAGTGAAGAGGCAACTGACAGTATGGGAGAAAATATTTGTAAACTATAAAACTGATAAAGGATTAATATGTAGAATTTATAAAGAGCTCAAGAAACTCAACAACAACAAAACAAAAAAAAATCAAGTTAAGAAATGGGTGGGGGTGGGGTAGCACTGTGGCATCGTAGATTAAGCCACCACCTGTGGTGCCAGCATCCCATATGGATGCCATTTCAAGTCCCAGCTGTTCCATTTCCAATCTAGCTCCCTCCTAATGTGCCTGGGAAAGCAGTGGGAAAATTGCTCAAGTACTTGGGCCCCTGCACCCATGTAGGAGATCTGGGTGAAGTTCCTGACTCCTGGCTTCAGATCCGGCAGTTGCAGCCATTTGAGGAGTGAACTGTGGATGGAAGACTTCTCTCTCTTTGCCTCTGCCTCTCCCACTCTGTTACTCTGCCTTTCAAATAAATAAATAAATCCCCCCCCCAAAAAAATGGAAAAGGATTTGAACACATTTTTCAAAACAGGAAGTTTAAATGGCCAACAGACACATGAAAAAATACCCAGGATCACTAGCCAAATAAATGCAAATAAAAACCACAATGAGGTTTTACCTCACTCATTTTAGAATGGCTCTCATACAGAAATCAACAAACAAGCCGGCGCCACGGCTCACTAGGCTAATCCTCCGCCTTGCGGCGCCGGCACACCGGGTTCTAGTCCCGGTCGGGGTGCCAGATTCTGTCCCGGTTGCCCCTTTTCCAGGCCAGCTCTCTGCTGTGGCCCGGGAGTGCAGTGGAGGATGGCCCAAGTGCTTGGGCCCTGCACCCCACGGGAGACAGGATAAGTACCTGGCTCCTGCCATCGGATCAGCGCGGTGCATCGGCCGCAGCGCGCTGGCTGCGGCGGCCATTGGAGGGTGAACCAACGGCAAAGGAAGACCTTTCTCTCTGTCTCTCTCTCTCACTGTCCACTCTGCCTGTCAAAAAAGAAAAAAAGGAAAAAAAAAGAAATCAACAAATAATAAATGCCGGTGAAAATATGGGGAAAAAGGTTCCCTAATCCACTGTTGGTGGGAATGTAAACTAGTACAGCCATTGTGGAAGACAGTATGGAGATACCTCAGAAAGCTGAAAATAGATATGCTATATGACCCAGCATCCCACTCCTGGGAATTTACCCAAGGGAAATGAAATCAGCATATGAAAGAGTTATCTGTACACCTATGTTTATTGCAGCTCAATTCACAATAGCCAAGATATGGAATCAACCTAGATGTCCATCACCTGAAGACTGGATAAAGAAATTATGGTATATATACACTATGGAATACCACTCAACTGTAAAATAAAAAATGAAATCCTGTCTTTTCCATCAAAATGGATGCAACCGGAAACCATTATACTTAGTGAAATAAGCCAGTCTCAAAAAGACAAATATCATGTCTTCCCTGATCTGTGGTAATAGATTATCAAAATGTATAGGAGGGGCCGGTGCCGTGGCTCATTTGGTTAATCTTCCACCTGTGGCACCGGCATCCCATATGGGTGCTGCCAGGTTCTAGTCCCGGTTACTCCTCTTCCAGTCCAGCTCTCTTATGTGGCCTGGGAAGGCAGTGGAGGATGGCCCAAGTGCTTGGGCCCTGCACCCGCATGGGAGACCAGGAGGAGGCACCTGGCTCCTGGCTTTGGATCGGCGTAGCTCCAGCCAATGCAGCCATTTGGGGAGTGAACCAACGGAAGGAAGACCTTTCTCTCTCTCTCTCTCTCTAACTCTGTCAAATAAATACATAAAAAATAAATAAAATAAAAAATGTACAGGAGTGAAATTAACGTTCTGAGATTCAATGATTGTTTACAACCCTGTCTCTACAGTTGAGGAACAGTATTTTTTTCTTCTTACTATTTGTTGAATTCTTTACTTAATGTAGGGTTAGCCTTATGAGTATAAAGTAAACTGAAAATAGATCACTGTAAAAATTAGGAGAGGAGAGAGGAGGAAAGGTGGAAGTATGGGCAGGAGGGAGGGTAGGGTAGGAAGTATCACTATGTTCCTAAATCTGTGTACATGAAATTAAAAAAAAACGGTATAAGGCCGGCGCCGCGGCTCACTAGGCTAATCCTCTGCCTTGCGGCGCCGGCACACCGGGTTCTAGTCCCGGTTGGGGCGCCGGATTCTGTCCCGGTTGCCCCTCTTCCAGGCCAGCTCTCTGCTGTGGCCAGGGAGTGCAGTGGAGGATGGCCCAGGTGCTTGGGCCCTGCACCCCATGGGAGACCAGGAAAAGCACCTGGCTCCTGGCTCCTGCCATCGGATCAGCGTGGTGCGCTGGCCGCAGCGCACTGGCCGCGGCGGCCATTGGAGGGTGAACCAACGGCAAAGGAAGACCTTTCTCTCTGTCTCTCTCTCTCACTGTTCACTCTGCTTGTCAAAAAAAAAAAAAAAGGTATATATGAAATATATGAAATTTGTTCCCTTTGTATAAATAAAAAAGTAAAAGTAAATAAATAAAATGCCTGCATAACATGGTATAGTATTTACATATAACCTCTGGACATCCTTCAGTATACTTTCAGTCATTTCTGGATACTTATAATACCTACTACATTGTAAGTGATATGGAAGTAGTTATTATACTATATTGCTTAAGGAATTACATCAAGAAAAAAAATTTGTGTGTGTGTTCAGTACAAATGCATCTTTTTTGAGTATTTTTGTTCCGTGACTGGTTAACAGGGCACGCAGAACCCACAGATACAAAGGGCCAACTGTACTAACTATATTATAATGGGGAAAGAAAAGGAAAATCATTCATATTAAGATAATATGTGTTTTAATATACATACCTAGGCAACACTACCCTAACACCAATAATAAGTAGTAAGAAGCTTCCACCTATCTGTAGAATCACTGTAAAGGCAATCACCACAAATGAAGATTCTTATGAGCACATGTGTGGGTGTTGGTGACTAAAATACCCATGAGTGGCATTGCCATCAGTAACATAATTTTCAAAAGTCCCAAATAACTCTTGGTAAAATTTTGAACAAAATAAAATGCCATCTTCCCCCAACTGGCACAGATGTTACATTCCTAGAAATTCCACATATATTTTAAAACTGGAGAAACACTGTGTGTATATTTATAAACTATTTAGGCCCAGCAAATTATACCAGGTTTTTCCACCTACATTCATGTTGTGTAGGACACTCCGAAGTTTTACAGTTGCAGGTTTTTAATCCCATTACCTTTTCATACTTATCTAAAACATGAAATCCACAACAAACCTCTTCTTGTGTGAGTTGTGTGTGCTTGCATCCTTTAAAACTAATGAGATTCAGAGCTGGAGTCTTTAACACTATTTCTAAAATCTATCACCTAAGCACAGCAAGAGATTCCTAGAATGTATTCTCAAAAGTGACACAATGCCTTTTGAATTATTGGGGACATGGTTCTTCTGTAGAAGCACCAAGGCATGAGAACAAATTATCATTTAAAAAAAAAAACATTTACTGCAATCCCTTAGTGATTTTCTCTGGCCTGGCCCCAGCCTCAGGAGTATAAAATGAACTGAGCTGGAAGAAAAGGACTAACAGGACCAGGTCATAGGGAGTGGGAGGGGGGCTATGTTGCTAGGTTACCACTCAAACCAATCCAAGTGGTCCCAGAGGGGAACCAGACACAGGACAGGTCTCTCTCTCTCTCTCTGCCCCACTAAGTTAAGGGCCCTCTCAAAGGAAAGGGGTCAAAGGTGAGGGGCAGGGGAGTGGATCATTCACACTAGGCACAAGTAAAGAAATGAGGCAGAACACAAAAGAAACAGACAGCCCTGTATTTCTAAAACCATTCAAGTCTCCTTCATTAATTGGCTTCCCCCCAAAGGAAAGATTTCTTTATTAAGAAATACGAGCTTGAAAAACTCCCAACACATACACATTTTAGGCTCACACAAAAGTGCAGAGATTTACATATTAAATTGCATTTAAGTTAGAAAATAGATTTAAAAACAAAATACTTCTTTCCCCCAACAAGGTAAAGAGATTTGGTCAGTAGGAAAAGGGTCCTTAGGGGTAAAGGCAGGATGGTCAGGACAGGAAGAATGGAATTTAGCTGCTACAGAATTAGAACCTACCTCAAAACCAATCCCATACTTAGGGAAAAACACAAAAGAGGAGATGATGATCTCAGCTAGGGCCAGGAGGGGCCTGGAGCCAAAGGGACACAAAGAAAGGTCCCAACATAGCCAAACCCCACCCAGAGGGTTTTGGATCAGTGCCAACCATCACGGCCTAGGAAAAGGGGTAAATGGGAAACTTGAGGAATGGGTAGGAAAGGGGAGTTGGAGACAAAGTGTGAGCCACGGAAAAGACAAAACAACTTAAGGCCCCTTTCCCTGGGAAAGATCAATTCTTCAATCTTTCCCCTGATTAGAACTCGGACTAGTATTAGTAGTATTCATGGGACAGATCCTCAGGCTAGGGTCTTAAATACAGAATATTTATAAACAAAAAGAAACTGGGCAGGGAGTATGAGAAAGCAGTAGCTTATCAAACAACAAAAAACAAAACCAAAAAAAAAAAAATCCCTCACACTCACACTAGAGACAGTTTTCCATTTTGGCCCTTCATATCAGAAATAGAAAACTAATCTGACTGGCCAAAGGGTCAGCAGCAGAGTGGCTGAGGTAAGTGGAGAGAGGAGAGAAAGCTATGATAAAGCCAGGAGAGGAGATGGGCTGAGCTGGGATAGGCTGGCAGCTAACTGAAAAGGGCTTTACATGAGAGGTTAACTGGAAAACTCAAACAACTTACAAACTTTCCAGGCCTGGCCTTATTTTGAAATAAGTAAACATCTAACCATAAGAAGAAGAAGAAAAAAAAAAGAGAGAGAGAGAGAGCCAGAAAAGAATGGGAAAGTAGCAGACACAAGAGAAATCTGAGTCAGTTGCTCTCCCAATATCTCTCTCTGACTCTGTCTCTGCATTTCAAATGCTAAATTCAAATCTTGCTACAATGGGGCCGGGTGCTATAGTGTAGTAGGTTAAGCCTCCGCCAGTAGCACCGGTTCATGTTCCGACTGCTCCACTTCTGATCCAGCTCTCTGCTGATGGCCTGGGAAAGTGATAGAAGATGGCCCAAGTGCTTGGGCCCCTGCACCTGCGTGGGAGACCTGGAAGAAACTGTCTCCTGGCTTCAAATCAGCCCAGCTCCAGCCATTGCAGCCATTTAGAGAATGAACCAGTGGATGGAAGATTTCTCTCCTTCTCTTCTCTCTCTCTATAACTCTGCCCCTCAAGTAAATAAATAAATCTTTAAAAAAAAAATCCTGCTACAAGGAAAATAGGAAAATACAGAGAAAAATCTGGGAGCAGCCAAATTTCATTAATTCCAACTGAGACGAGTGAGATAGGAACTGATAAGGAGTCCTGAATACAGACCATTTAAAAAGAAATACATGACATCACTTGTAAAAGATCACTCACAAAATGTTTCCAAGGGAAGGCCCTGATAAGCCTGCTTTAAAAAACCAAGACTTGTTTGCAATTAATGGCATCCATCTGTTTTAAAACAACACCCTAATAAAGAACTTGAGCTCTAAAGTAAATATAATCTCCCTACCCTTCTGATTTTGCTCACACTGTGTACTGACTTAGAAGTCCTTTCTTCATAATCTAGAATAAGATCAACTTTGGCCCAGAATGTAATATGCTTCAATGAAGAGTTTGGGAGCTATCACTCCAACCCAAGGGTCCCCTGAAAAATGGAAGTATGGGTAGTAACAAACAACCCCCTCCAACCCCCACCCCCAACACAGACACGTTCACACCCCCAAGGTGGTTCTTGAAATGGAAGGGGGAAGGAGGAGGCAGGCAGTTTGCATTAGACACAGTTTAATCGCCTTCAGATAGATTAAAAGTTCTGGTTTACACTCCCCCACCCCCATGAGTCATCCAGACAGGACCCTGGCTTAGAAAGAGAAAAACACAGGTGCTCTAGGAAATATAGCCACATATAATACATAAATCTTCTTCCCTGAAATAGTGCAGGTCCTGAGCAGAGCTGACTGGGGGCCGCAGCCCACCCCCCGGGTGAAGTGGCTCTGGGACTCTGCCGGTGGAAGTGCTGGAAGAGTGGGGCTTGGAGGAAGCCCCCGGCGTGGTTACCATAGCTCAAGGTGGGCTGAGGCCTTGGAGTGGGTTCCCTGGGAGGGCAGCAGTGCTGGGCTTTCCCTCACTCAGCCAAGGCTTAATGGAAGTACTGGTTAGCGGGTTTTTTTCCTTTTTTTAAGGGGACATAAGGGGAGAGGAAAGGAGAGGACAGCCTCTCTGTGCCTTGGTTTCCACATTTGTGCATTCAGGGCCTTTGCAGGCCACACACAGGGAGTCTGACGGGGTAGTGTTTAAGTGAGCACTTAGGCTTCCTCTGAAGAAAAGGAAGGACCAGAGTGCAGACTTTTATTACTGCCATTCCTGCTCCTAGTGAGAGCAAAGTCCAAAGGAAAAACAAATTAAAAGGGGCTAATGAGGAGGGAAGAGAAATGAGACAGAGAGTATAAAAGGATACGCCGTTGGCATCTCATTAATTCTTACTGAGAACAGCAGAGGCATTAAAAAATTTCTGGGAACTCTATGAGAAATGTAAATTGTTATCTCCACTACACTTACTTACATGTATCTAAGGGGAAGATAGTGGGACTTAGTGTTAGAGAGTAGATGGGGGACAAAGGAGAAGCTACACGAATAAATACAACAAGTGGAAAGTACCTGCCCCATTCCTAAAAGGATTAGCTGGCAAGGCTGGCACTTGGTAGCCAAGAGAATCCTCCAATCCCACTCTCCATCTTTATTAATTCTGAAGGCCTCAAGAATCCAGTTAAAATTCTCTGGCCAATGGTCTCTGCGACTGCCTCTACACTAGGGACAAGCAGCAGCCTGAGAGCATTTGAGCCCAGTCTGAAAAACCTTTAGCCCCAAAATGAGACTAACGGCTCCAAGCAGGAGGGCTGGGATCTGGAGGGGAGAGAGGAGAGTCCAGGAAGACGTTATGGCTGGAGGCCATGGAAAACCGGTGTCAAGGCCCAAGAGATCCATTTGTCCATTACAAGAGGTGACTGACATCTTCTGCTACTGCCTTGAGTATAGAAATTTTAAAAATAAAAAATAAAAAGCTTGCAGCTTGCAGCAAGAAAATGCCAGTGTGCAATTGGGTGACTAATGACCAAAAAACCGGGAAAATGAACAGCTTACTTGCTCTCTGTCTCAAGTTTATCTTCTCCCCTGAAATCTCTCATAGCCCTAATGAACACAAACAAAAGTCTCTTCCACAGATAGGCTACTTCTCAGCTTCAGTCGCCTCCTGTGCTGGCTCTGGGGGTTCTGGAGGCGACATCTCTTCCGGAGAGCTGGAGTCCTCTGGCATCTCGTTTGAATTCAGATGCTCTGTTGGTGCCTACGAGGAAAAGATATCATATTTGACACAGTGTTCTCCTTCAAAATCCAAATGCAAAGAATCTGCAGACACTAAACTCTTCCTCTGAACCCCTCAACCACACTGATACTACAGACATGCAGCCACCAGCCCCAAACTTAGAGCCAAGACCAGGCTATCTTCTTCTCAGCAAGATGCGACACAGGTGGATTTGAGCTCTATCCTGAATTGTCTTCATGGACTGATGTCCCACTATTATCATCATCATCATCATAATAGGGAGCACAAATAACTGCATAGGTCAGGTGCTCCCCTACCTCCCAACAGACTGTTATAATGTTCTTGTCTAACATAGCTTGAACCAATGGTTCTCAATTCTGTTTCTGCTCTAACACACACCTCACTAGAACAGCAATTCTAAACCAAAGAAGGTAGGGTGTCAAAATTTTGATGGTCAGATGTGGTTTGAAAATGCCCTCTTAGTGATTCTAAAACACTACCCTTCCCCACATTCAGCTGAGAATCACTACTGTAGATTGTAATGATTTGAGATCAGACTCATCTAAAAAGTGATATTTAAAATGATGACAATAATACATAAACCTGGCTTTGCTGGACATTAAAAATTAGCAGCAGGCATTTGACCTAGCAGTTAAGCCAGCAATTGGGACACCCACATCCCATTATCAGAGTGCCAGGGTTTAAGTCTCAGATATGCTTGGAGTTTTTTAAAAAGATTTATTTATTTATTTATTTTAAAGGCAGAGTTAGAAAGAAGCAGAGGCAGAGAGAGAGAGAGAGAGAGAGAGAGAGGGCTTCCATCTGATGATTCACCTCTCAAATGGCTCCAGCAACAGCTGGAGCTGGGTTGATTTGAAGCCAGGAGCCTAGAGTTTCTTCCAGGTCTCCCACGTGGCTGCAGGAGCCCAAGGATTTGGGCCATCTCCCACTGCTGTCCCAGGCACATTAGCAGGGAGCTGGATCAGAAGTAGAGCAGCTGGGACTCAAACCAGCACCCATATTGGGAATGCCTACACTGCAGGCAGCAGCTTTACCTGCTACGGCACAGCACTGGTCCCTCAAATACGCTTCTAATTCCAGTTTCCAGTGAATGTACACCCTTGGAGGCAGCGCTGTTGGCTCAAATAACTGGGCCTCTGCCACTCACGTGGGAGTCCTGGATTGCATTCCCAGCTCCTGACTTTAGTCTGTGAGACAGGTCATTCTGAGCATTTGGGGAGTAAACCACAAATAGGATCTCTCTCTCTGTCTCTGTCTGTCTGTCTATATATCTCTCTCTCAAATAATAACAAAATTAAAATTCAAAATTCAGAAAAAGCTAAGTAGTGAGCAACGATTTACCTTACAAAAAGCATTCACTTAAGAGTAGGATCCCGTTTAAAAAAAATTCAATTCTACTAAAAATATGTTAGAATAAGTTTCATAAGATTTCAGGATACAAGGCCAATATACAACAATCAGCTGTATTTCTACATACTCCCAATAAACAATCTAAAAATAAAATTAGGAAAAAACCCTCATCTACAATAATAGCAAAAAGTAAATAAAATAAAATACTTATGATAGGGCTGGCGCCGCGGCTCACTAGGCTAATCCTCCGCCTAGCGGCACCGGCACACCGGGTTCTAGTCCCGGTTGGGGCGCCGGATTCTGTCCCGGTTGCCCCTCTTCCAGGCCAGCTCTCTGCTGTGGCCAGGGAGTGCAGTGGAGGATGGCCCAAGTCCTTGGGCCCTGCACCCCATGGGAGACCAGGATAAGTACCTGGCTCCTGCCATCGGATCAGCGCGGTGTGCCGGCTGCAGCACACCGTCCGCGGCAGCCATTGGAGGGTGAACCAACGGCAAAGGAAGACCTTTCTCTCTGTCTCTCTCTCTCACTGTCCACTCTGCCTGTCAAAAAAAAAAAAAAAGAAAAAAAATACTTATGATAAAGCAGTGAAAGTATAAAACTTACATTCTGAAAGCTACAGAATATTGCTAAAAAATTAAAGATAATTTTAAACAGATGCAAAGACAGCTCATATTAATGGCTCAGAAGTCAAATTTGCTAAGATGGCAATATTCCCCAAATTGATCTAGAGATTCAATGCAATTCCCATTAAAATTCCAACTTGCTTCTTTGCAGAAACTGATGAGCTGATCCTAAGATTCATATGGAAATTCAAGGGACCTAGAATATCCAAAGCAATCAGGAAAAAGAATAAAGTTGGAAGGCTCACATTACCCAATTTTAAAACTTACACAATACTAACATAACCAAAAAAGTATGGTACTGGCATGAGAACAGATATACTGATCAACAGTTGAGAATCTAGAAATAAACTCTCACATTTATGATCAATTGATCTTTGACAAGGACTGAAAAAAGGATAGTCTTTTCAACAAATGATACAATGGCAATGGAATATCTACAGGCAAAAGAAAGAATACAGATCCCCTACCTCAAAGCATATATAAAAATGAACTAAAAATGGATTAAATATCTAAATATAAGAGATAAAACTATAAAATTATTATAAGGAAACAAAATATCAATCTTTATGATGTTAGATTAGGCAACAATTTCTTAGATATGACACCAAAAGTATAAGCCACAAATGAAAACTGAGTAAATTGGATTACATCAAAATTTAAAACTTTTGGGCTTCAAAGGTTACCATCAAGAAATTGAAAAGACAATCCATAGGATGAGAGAAAATAATTGCAAATCATGTATCTGGCAAAGGACTTGTATATAAATTATATAAAGAACACTTACAACTCAACAACAAAAAAGATAAATAGCTCAATTTTTAAAATGGAGAAATTATCCAAATATACACTTCTCCAAAGAAAATATACAAGTGCCAAAGAGCACATGGAAAGATGTTCAATATCATTAGTCATCAGGAAAATACAAATTAAAACCACAATGAACCCACATCACACCCACTAAGATAGCTATGTTCAAAATGTCAGATAATAGTTGCCAAGGATATAGAGAAACTGGAAACCTCATATACTGTTAGTAGGAATGTAAGACGGTACAACTACTTTGGAAAAGAGTTTAAAATTTCCCCAAAAGGTTAAATACAAGGGTATGCCTATGAACAAAAGTTCATAGAAAAATGGAATTAAAATAGAATTTTATTTTGGTGTTAAAATTTTTGAAATTCATGCTTGACTTTTTTAGTACCCATTTTCCATGAACTTTCTGAAGACCTCTCATAAACGTTGAGTTACCATCTGACTCAGAAATTATATTCTCAGGAATATAGCCAAGAGAAATAAAACCATGTCCACATAAAAACTTATACATGGGGGGCCAGTGTTATGGCGTAGTGGGTAAAGCCGCCACCTGCAGTGCCAGCATCCCATATGGGCTCTAGTTCGAGTCCTGGCTGCTCCACTTCCAATCCAGCTCTCTGCCATGGCCTGGGAAAGCAGTACAAGATGTCGTCTCAAGTGCTTGGGCCTCTGTACCCACATGGGAGACCCGGGAGAAACTCCTGGCTCCTGGCTTTGGATTGGCACAGCTCCAGCCATTGCAGCAATCTTGGGAATGAACCAATGGAAGACACTCTCTCTCTCTCTCTCTCTCTCTCTCTTTCTCTCTGCCTCTGTCTCTCTGTAACTCTGCCTTTCAAATAAATAAATGAATTAATATTTAAAAGACTTATACATGGATGTTCACAGTTATATTACTTATGATAATCAAAAGATGTAAATAAAGCAAATGTCTACCAACTGATGAATGGATAAATAAATGTAACATGACTGTATGCTGGAATATTATTCAGCACATAAAAGAATGAAGTACTGCTCTATGCTACCTTGAAAATATAAAGCTAAGTAAAAGAAGCTAGTCACAAAGGGCCACATATTGTATGAGTCCATTTACATGAAATATAAAGAAGAAACAAATCTACAGCAAAAGGAAGTAGATTATTAGTTGCCTAGGGATGGGCTGGGGAGTTAAAGAGAAGAAGAATGACTGCTAATGGGTACAGAGCTCCTGAGGGCAGGGGTAATTAAAATATTTTTAAATTGATTGTTGTGATGATTGTACAACTCTATAAATACACTGCAAACAAGTGAATCATCCATTTTAAATAGACTGCATGGTATGTGAATCATCTCTAATAGAGCTCTTAGAAAAAAAAGTTTAGGGGCTGGTGCTATGGCGTAGCGGGTGAGGTCACCGCCTGTAGTGTCGGCATCCCATATGGGCGCCGGTTCATGTCCCAGCTGCTCCACTTCCGATCCAGCTCTCTGCTATGGCCTGGGAAAGCAGTGGAAGATGGCCCAAGTCCTTGGGCCCCTATACCTATGTGGGAGACCTGGAGGAAACTCCTGGCTCCTGACTTGGAAGTACAGCTCCAGCCATTGCAGCTAATTGGAGAGTGAACCAGCGGATTGAAGACCGACCTCTCTCTCTCTCTCTCTGTGCCTCACCTTCTCTCTCTAACTCTTTCACATATAATAAATAAATCTTTAAAAAAGAAAAAAAATTCAAATAATAAGAACATACTTGGTAAACACATCTTGAGCAGGGCAGCTGGGAGACTCTCCACAACATCTGCATGTTCCAGGAAGGAAGCCTCTTTCTCCCAAGGTAACCACATCACTCACTGCAACATCATCCCTGACCCCTATTTTTGCCCCTACACGCTTCCCTCCTCAAGGCACCCTTCAGGCTGCTGAGGAGTAGTCTGATTTCACGTCTCTCAACTCCACTAGATTAATGAGCTCTTTGAGAGCAGGGATACAGTCTGCCTTGCACACTGCTGTATCCTCAGCACCTAGCAGAGTAGCTGGCAGAGAAGCTGCTTAATAGTAAATCTCAAAGAAATGAATAAAGTTTAATCTACTTCCAAAAGCACAAAGATCTGAAGGCAGTATCAAGACAGAAGAGAGAAGAGATAGGGAAGCCGAGGTGATCAGGATACAAAATTGCCTAACTATATCCTATTTCTAAACTGTAAAATCAGCCTGCACCCTCCCTAGCATCAACTTAGCCTTAAGTCAGAAACACTTACTGGGCTTTGTGGCAAGAGGCTGCTACTGGTCTCTTGAGTACTGGGAGGTCGACTTCCACTTTCCTCCAGTGGCAAAATACCCCTTCGATCCAGCACACTGAAGGAGACAGGAGAGTTAATCAAGGAATTGGCATTCACTCCTCCACCCACACAGCCCACTGAACATTGCTGTGTATATTAAAAAACATAAACTAGGCCTTTGGCAATCTAGCCTAATCTGAGCACATGCCTCCTATCTTTCATTCACTTTTTCTTCCATAAACCAGTGCCATAATAACCAGGGTACAAAAAAATGAAACAGCATCCATTCAAAACAACCAGCCCATGGTCTATGGCCCATGTAGATATGCTATCAAGTCACAATCCTTATGGAGACCATTTTTGATACCACAAGGTCACATTCAGAAGAATGTATCAAACCAGGTAACGGGATTAGGTTAAGTCGTTCATTCAAAGAGTGCCAGGACCTTTTAGTCTCCTAAGTACCTGGGAGGCAAGGGGCCACACAGCACTTCACAACAGTTCTTCACAATGTTGCCATGGCTATAGGGATTCTGGACGCGATTCTTCCCTGTCCATGATCCTTTGATCTGCAAGATAAAAGCCAAAGCTTACATTAAAAATTGTTTTGAAGGGGCCAGAGTTGTGATGCAGCAGGGTAAACCACCACTTGTGATGCCAGCATACCATATTTAGAGTGCTAGTTCGAGCCCCAGTTGCTCTGCTTCCCATTCAGTCCCCTGTTAATGCATCTTGGAAAACATCAGAAGATGGCCCAAGTACTTGGGCTCCTGCTACCCATGGGAAAGACCCAGATGGAGTTCCTGGCTCCTGGCTTTGGCCTGGCTAAGTTCTGACAGGCAGTTGTGGCCATTTTGGAAGTAATCAGCTGATGGAAAATTAGTCTCTCTCTGTCTCTCTCCCTATCAAACAATAAAAAATAAAAATAACAATTGTTTTGAAGACATATAGCATGGGATGATGAAAAAGTTCTAGAAATGGGGCTGGCACTGTGGTGCAGCAGGCAAAGCTGCCACCTGCAGCATTGACATCCCATATGAGTGTTGGTTCGAGACCTACTGCTCTACTTCTAAGCCAACTCCCTGCTAATGCACCTGGGAAGGCAGCAGAAGATGGCTTGAGTGCTTGGGCTCCTGCCACCCACATAAGAGACCCGGAAGAAACTTTTGGCTTTGGTCTGGCCCAGCCCCAGCCATTGCGGCCATTTGGGGAGTGAACCAGTAAATGGAAGACCTTTCTCTCTGTGTCTCTCCTCTCTGTAACTCTACCTTTCAAATAAATCACTAAATCTTTTTTTTAAAAAGTTTTAGAACTGCATGGTGGCAATGCTATGAATGAATTATACATTTAAAAATGGTTTAGATGGCACATTTTATATTGTGTGTATTTTATCACAATGAAAAGGAAATACATACGCAGAATGTTCACAATAGAGTGAGTGAAAAAAGATTGAATCCTATGTATTATTTTTATTTAAAAATATATAATATATATAGATACACAACATGAGAATGAGTCTGCACCAATCTGTAAGACTAAATCACACTGTTAACAAAAGTGGTGTCTAGGAGGTAAAGTTACAGGGATTTACTTTGTCTTTTTTGCTTATCTGTATTTTCTGATGGTCTACAATGAATATGGATTAATTGGTAACTTTTTAAAAAATAAGTACTGGCCGGCACCGTGGCTCACTAGGCTAATCCTCTGCCTGTGGCGCCAGCACTCCGGGTTCTAGTCCCGGTTGGGGCACCAGATTCTGTCCCGGCTACTCCTCTTCCAGGCCAGCTCTCTGCCATGGCCCGGGAAGGCAGTGGAAGATGGCCCAAGTCTTTGGGCCCTGCACCTGCATGGGAGACCAGGAGAAGCACCTGGCTCCTGGCTTTGGATCGGCGCAGCATGCCAGCCATGGCAGCCATTTGGGGGGTGAACCAAAGGAAGGAAAACCTTTCTCTCTGTCTCTCTCTCTCACTGTCTAACTCTGCCTGTCAAAAAATAAATAAATAAATAAAAATAAGTATTTATTCAGTACAACTGTCTTGAGTCATTCCAAATCTACAGGCACCATCTGGCCTTTAAGAACCTAATGACCTTGTACCCATGTAAACTTTTCAATCTCTTCACCTTTTTTCTTTTTTAAAAAAGATTTATTTGTTTATTTGAAAGATGGAGTGACAGAGAAACAAAAGGGACACACACACACACACACACAAAGACAGAATCTTCCATCCTAGTTCAGTCCCCAAATGGCCACACCAGCCAGGGTTGGGCTAGGCTGAAGCCATGAGCCAGAAACTCCATCTAGGTTTCCCACACAGGTGGCAGGTGTCCAAGTACTTGGGTCACCATTCGCTGCCTTCCCAAGCACATTAGCAGGAAGCTGGATCAGAAGTAGAACAGCCAGGACTCGAACCAGCATTCCAACAGAATGTCACATGTGGCAGTTTAACCCACTACACCATGCACCATGCACAGGACTCTATTTGAGGGGCAGTGAGAAAGAGAGAGTGTGAGAGTGAGAAAGAGATAAAGAGCTCCCAACCACTAGTTCACTCCTTAAATGCCTACAACAACCCACACTAGGCCAGGCCAAAGCCCAGAGCCAAGAACCCAATCCAGGTCTCCTATGTGGGTGGCAGGAGTCCAATCACTTGAGCCATCACCATTGTGTCCCACCATGTGCATTAGCAGGAAGCTGGAATCAGTAGCAGAGTCAGAGCTGGGACTCGAAGCCAGGTACTGAGATACAGGATGCTGACATCCCAATCAGTATCTTAACTGCTAGGCCCAATACCTGCCCTTCGATCTCTTTTTCCTAGTGCCCTATAGGTACCCAGCTCCAAACAAAGCAGTCTGTTTCTCTTCCACACATCTAATATTCTCTCATAGCAGGTTTCTGCTTGCCTCAACCTCCTGGGCTGAAGATTCAGTTCTCTAGCAGGTAACAACAGAATAGGCTTTGGGGAGGAAAATACATGGTGAGGAGAAAAGAAGTTGACTCACGTCTTCATTGGTTGTCTGGTTGAGAGCCACGAGGAAAGTGTGAAATCCAGTCAGTCCCACAACGGACCATAGTGTGAAGAAGCAGATGAGAACTTCTAGAACAGTGAGGTGAGGTTAAGGAATGATGAAGAAGCTACATCAGGGAACTCCATGACACCAGTCACACCTTCTTTCCCTCTTGGAATGTATATCATAAAGGCCATGTATCCACATAAAACAACAGATAAATTCTAAACTCACTGGATAGATCCTTTATGAAAAGTAAAGGATTTCTGCTGATTTACTACAGATCTCTAGTGTATTTAAGTGGATGCCTATTTATTTATCATTGGCCCTTGGAAGGTGATAGCTAGGAGGGGGCCAAAGCTAAACAATGTTGGCCATCACTGCCAATGAAAATCTCATCAAAAAATAAACTTTTTAAATGAAAAATTAGTGGGAGAAAATGATTTATAGACATCTCATCCGAATCTGCTTTTCAGAAATGCTGCCTTAGCTGTAACAGGATGACGGGGCTTCCAGTAAGCGACATAAGAGGTGGATTTAGGCAAAGCAGTCTACTAGAGGAGACAGGGCTGAGCCTGGGATAAGAAGGACTTGGAAGAGAGACAGCCACAAAGTGGGTGAAGGAGAGACCTCCTTTTAAGCCCTGGCCATCTTCCATTCTGGTTTTTATCACTAAGACTACATTTTTTATTTTAGACTTTGGCACTCTCCAATGTTTGAAAAACTAGGTGGTGGGAGAACTGCAGGGAAGAAAAATGCTGGAAAGTAGTTTAAGAAGGCTTCACAGGACATACTGCCAGGGAGGATATGTTCCAGGAGTTTCTTTCAACGTCTCCAGAAAGCCAATTTTCAAGGATTCTGTGAAATTGAGAGGAGTAGAGAGAAAAATTAGTGAATTCAGTCAAAACTATGCACTCTCCTAGTACCTGCTCATTTCCTTCCCTCCCTATCACGTGTTACACACTGGCAAGAGATAAGCTCTCACGCAGGCAAGGGTGAGAATTCTCACCTTCAATTGGCAGACTCATTACAAAAGAGTTCATATTTCCAGTGCAAGACCAGGTACTGGACTAGAGAGCTGGGCATAAGCCAAGCCTTGAGCTCCCTTCCCTTTTTCCTAGCCCTCAACTACAGACATGTAGGGGGATACTAACAGATGAAAGAAATCAGAAATAGCCACCAAAAAATCCTCTCCTTACCTATCTGTGCCACTTCCTCATTTAAAATACAGCTCAGAGTTTCTCTCTTTAGAAGCTGTCTTCATTCAGACCATTCCTTTAACTCCACATCCCATCTGCCCTTAGATGTGTGGATATGTGTGTGTGTATGTGCAAGGTTACCTCAAGTTCATGGAAAATGGAGTTAAAAGATCAGTTTATTTTGGTGCAAATATAGAATATCTGGTGGTTTTATTTATTTTTATTTATTTAAGAAGCAGACAGAGATTTCTATATCCACTGGTTCACTCTCCCAAATGCCTACAATAGTCAGAGCTGTCTAGGCCAAAGCCAGGAGCCAGGAAATCAATTCAGGTGTCCTACATGGATGACAGGGACCCAAGTAATCAAGCCATCACCTGCTGCCTCCCAGGGTGTACACTAGCAGGAATCCAGATCAGAAGCAAAGGGAGGGACTTGAACCCAGGCATTCTGATATGGGATGTGGGCATCCCAAGTATCACTTAACCAGCGCACCAAAATAAATTCATCTTTTAATTCTATTTTCCCTGAACTTTTTGAATCATCCTCATATTTTCTTATCTCCAAAAGCAGACCATGAGCTACTAAAAAGTATTTCTCGGCTAAAACCCTTTCTACCACTTAGCACAAAGCAGGTGTTACAAGGCAGTAGAGAGAATGCCAAAACACACCCCCAACCTTTGGGATCACTTTAGAAATGCCCAATACTCTGGGTCTAGACCAGTAATTAAGACCAGGTTCTCAGCAGAGAGCCAGCGAGAAGGCCAAATCCTCAGTAAATACTTACTGCTGTTAGCTGAGATTTGCAGCCCTGCTCCCGAACAGATGGTAGTGCTAATTTTTTTTTTTTATCTTTTATTTAATGAATATAAATTTCCAAAGTACAACTCATGGGTTACAATGGCTTCCCCCCCCATACCGTCCCTCCCACCAACAACCCTCCCCTTTCCCACTCCCTCTCCCCTTCCATTCACATCAAGATTCATTTTCGATTATCTTAATATACAGAAGATCAGCTTAGTATACCTTAAGTAAGTATTTCAACAGTTTGCTCCCACACAGAAACATATGAAAATTTCTTAATTTTTAACTGGTCCTACAGTGCCTTCACCACAACAAAGGTCCCATCAGGAAACCCAACCACCTCCTGTCCCAAGCTGTCCTCAAGTCTTCCCAATCTCATGGCTACTCCAACAACAGACACTAGCCCCATATACTCACTGAGTGCCACATAGACGATGTTAAAGGCGAAGACATAAATTGTGAGCAGGGAGAGAGAAAGGATGAAGAGGTAGAAGTAGCGGTAGTTCCTCTTTCCAACACAATTCCCCACCCAGGGGCAGTGATGGTCGAAGCGTTCTGTGGGAGAAAGACAGAGTCCAATGCCAAAGCCTCCACAACAAAGGGCAACCCTGCCATGCACATAACACCTAATTCAAAGAGCTCCAGTGTCACTGTCTATTTCAGTTGAGAAAACATGCAATTCTTTCACTTTTTAGAAATGTTTACACAACCATCTCACTTGATCTCCACAGTCAACCTAGAAGTTGGGCAAAAGGGAATATACTTCCTCCCATTTCATAGATGAGGAAACTAAGGCACCATGCCCCCATCTGCCAATTAAAGCTGAGACACAGTTTTCTCACATAAAAACCTTAGCAGATGGGCCTACTAAGTTCAAGAAAAATAAATAGATGAAAATTGCTAAAGAAAATCTGAAGAATGAGTAGCGCAGTTTTTCTTCACCTCCACTTATTGAAACTATAATATATTTTAGTGATATGGCATAGCTCAATAATGGAAAGGGCCCAAAAACAGGCTCTAGAATATCTAAGAGTTTACTCTCCAATAAAACACAGCATTCATTACAAAATCAATGATGAAAAAAATGTATTATCTCATAAACAATCCTGAGACAATTGGCTAATTGGTAGAAAATAAGGGTGCATTTTTTCCCCCTCGCACTATTTGTCAAAATAAATTCCAGATGAATTAAAGAATAAGTGTAAAAACAAAGTCAATCCATTACAAAGAACACTGTAAAAAACAGATGGACATTTATTCTCTGAATAGAAAAAATACATTCTAAGCATGATGGGAAAGATAACAAAGCAAAATAGATTTTATTCCATAAACTTTAGGAAAACATTCAGTGTATGTTAAAAATACTTTTAAAAAAACAATGGCAATGTATGTTAGTTTGTATCTGACTATACAAAAATTCTTACAAATTAGTAAGAAAATACAAACATTTTCTCAAGTATTTAGTCAAATGTTACTTGAAAGTTCATAAGAAAGATCTTAAGTGTCTTCACCACATACACACATACACAAACACACACACAGTCAGCTGTGTAAGGTAATGGATATGTTAATTTGATTATGGTAATCATCACAGTGTATACTTATGTCAAATTACCACATTGTACTTCTTGAATACATATACTTTTTGCCAATTATACCTCAATAAAACTGAAAATAGAAAATTATTTATATATATATTAAACAGCAAAAGCAGTTCATAAATACAGTATAAACATGTCTAATTCTCTACAAATTCACTAATAATTCAGTGCAATGTAGTAAAACAGTAAGATTCTTGTCACCTATCAAAATAAGAATATAAATAACAACACCTAGTGTTAGTGAGAACAGGATACTCCAATGCACTGCTTGTGGGAATAGAAATTGAAAGAATATTTCCAGAAAGCAATTTGGCAGTGTGTATCAAGAACCTTAATAATGTTCATAGCCCTTTGGCAGAATAAATCCATTTTCAGCCATTTTTCACAAGGAAATGGAGATGCACACAGAAATTTAAGTTCAACAATTTTTTATTCAATTTTTTGTGGTAAGAGATATATAACATACAATTTTCTATCTTAACTATTTTAAGCATACAATACAGTGGTATTAATTACATTCACAATATTGTACAACTATCACCACTGTCTACATATGAAACCTAAATTTTATTACCCCAAACAGAAATTCTGTAGCCATTAAGCAGTAGCTCTCTACTTTCCCCTTTTCCAAGGCCTGGCAACTTCTAATCTTATTTATCTATGAATTTGCCTATTCTAGATGTTTCACGTAAGTGGAATCATACAATACTTGTATTTGTCCTTTTGGGTTTGACTTCTTTCACATAGCATGTTTTAAGGTTCATCCATGTTATAGCATGCATCAGTACTTCATTACTTTTTGTAACTGAGTAATATTCCACTGCATGTATATGCCATATTTTGTTTATTCATCCATCTGATGAAGGACATTTGGATTGTCTCCCCTTTTGGCTACTGTAAATATTGATGCAACGAACACTGGCCTACAACTAAGTTTTCAGTCCCTATCGTCAATTGAATATTGTTATGAACTGACTTGTACCCCTTATTGAGTAATAGCGATAGGACCTTTAAGGCAGTTACTAAGGATAAATGAGTTCATAAGGGTAGAGCCCTAATCCAATAGGACTGGTGTCTTTATAAGAAGAGGATGAGATGCTAGGAGTGTATGAGTACAGAGAAAAGGCCATGGGAAAGACACAGTAAGAAGGCAACCATCTGCAAGTCAGAGAGAAAGGCCTCACTAGAAACCAACCCTGCTAGCACCTTTATCTTGGACTTCCAGCCTCCACAACTATAAGAAAATAAATTTCTGCTGTTCAAGCCACCCAGTCTATGGTATTTTGTTATGGTAGCCCAAGCACACTAATACAAGTATATACCCAGGAGTAGAATTTCTGGGTCATATGGCAATTATATGTTTAACTTTTTAAGGAACTGCCAAACTGATTGCCATAGCAGCTGCATCATTTCACATTCCCACCAGAAATGTATGGAGTTCCAATTTCTCTACATTCTTAAGTCTAATAATTTTGATTGCAATGTTAAAATAATGAATAACATCTAATGACAGGAGACTGCCTAAATGAATTAGAATATAACCATATGATGGGTTATGTAATCTTTAAAATAACCAGTTTAAAAATATTGATTAAGATATAGAAAAATGCATGGTCTATGTTAAAGGACAAAAACAGGTTTAAAAACTATCATGTATGGTTCAATTCTGAAAATGAGAATCTGGAAGGAAATACAGCAAAATGAAGAGTGAGGTTAGAATTAAGCTTTAGTTATACTTTTTTACTTCCCATGTTTTTCTACAATGAATATGTACAGACTCCACAAAGAAAATAAAATATATCATTGTTAAATAACAGTAAGCTGTTTACTGGTCAAAAAAATGAAGCTGTAAGAATGGTACATCTTCTGGTTTTAACAATATAAGAGATCTTCAAAAAGTTCATGGAAGTGTACGCTATGAAAAATCTATGTATGGATTTCAAAAAAACTTTGCACCAAAATAAACTTATCTTTTAATTCTGCTTTTCCACAAACTTTTTGAAGAATCCTCATATATCTTTCTGGGAAAGGGAAGGAAGGAATAGAGAGGAATGACATGTCCAAGGTGTTAGGGTAATCTTAAGGTTAAGAATTAAAGATAAAGGTTCATTTTAAGCAAATCTGTCATGTAAAAGAACCAGAAAAATGCAGATTTATATAGATAGATGTTTCTCACAGTGCTTTAAATAACACTTTTTTTCTGGTAATACATGTTCATTTTAGACAACTTGGAAAAAAAAGCAAGTAAACAAAAATCACTCAGAATCCCATAACCCATAATGAGCCACAGCATTCTGGTGTATTTTTTTTACCTATCTCTTTACACATCTTTACATTTTTTATGATACAACTGTGATCACAATGTAAATGTAGCCTATCTCCTATTTATGTCACTTAGTTTTCTGATTTGAGCTTTTTTCATAAGGTCTAATTTATGAATATCCTCTACTAATGAACTAGTAGGTTCTTTCCAATTTTTCATTATCACAACAGTCCTGAGGAAACACTCGCGTCCCTAGATGTTTGACCACATCTTTGATTCCCTAGAAACCAAATCACTGGCATCAAAGGATGTTCATGTTTTAAGACTTTTAATTATCTTTATTAGATTGTCTTCCCAAAAATTTGCTCCAATTTATATTCCTATCAGTGTAGGACTAGGCATTATCTGGTTTTCCTTGTTAATTCTGTAGATATGAAAAAAGCACTTTTTTCATATTTATTTCATGTTAACTAGACAATTGTATTTCTTGCTTTATGAACTGTCCAGATTTCTAGTGGAATGTTAGTGGTTTCTTAAAAAACATTTAAGAATATTAATGAGAACGAATTATTTATGAAAACCTTCACATCAGCTCTTCTCTAAATATTGTTTCCTGGTTTATTTGAAATTAATTTCAATGTATAAAACTCCATCTACATACAGCTTCGAACCACACGAAGCCAGATACAGCTCCGTAAACTCTGTCTGAAGAATTGGCAAGCAGGAAAGCAGGACCTCAGGCATTCTACATGGAATACAGAATGTCTGAAGGCTCCCTAGTAATATCAGCAATTTCACACATATGCCTATCAATAGGCACATCCATGGTCTGTATCTGATCTTCCCCCAGGTTCAGCACACAAGAGGCAATGAGCGCAATGAAGGCCCATACGTGGATGTAAGCACAGACCCCTATCTTATGCACACACACATACCCGCCACTCTTGCAGCAGCAGCAGGAAAAGAAGAAACAGCTTCAGAATAAGGTCTGTTTCAGTTTCATCTCACACTAATTACATGAACTTAATACAAAAGCACTTCATCTGTAAAATGGGGATAACATTGATCTCACAGAGCTGTTATGAGTCTTAAATGAGAGACATAAAATGCACTTGGCATGGTGCCGTGTAGGTAGTAGGAACTCAATAAACATTAGTAACCTTCCTCTTCTTGGGAGCACTGCTTCTCATAGATGCTCCTTCCCTCCTCAATACTGCCCTCCTGTGGATAAGGATCCTCCTCCCCTCTGTAAGGTGGGCCCTGCGGGAACAGATCCAGCAGAGGAAACCCTCCATGCCTAAAGTTGTAATTTCCTATTTGTATTTAAAAATAAAAATCAACTAGAAGATATTTAAATTATGACTTGACCTACACAAGTAAGTTGATTGCCACTTGCTCAAGAACTTGTTTCCTATCTCAATTTCCTATCTAAATCTAGTTTGTTTTTCATTTATCTTCCCACTCCTACCGATTTTTCCCAAGAATTGCTGACCACCCCAACCCTCTTGTTCAACTCAGCCTTTCCCCAAGTCAACATCCCCTTGGTTTTACTCACCCACACAGTTGTCACAGATGCTGCAGTGGGAGGCCCGGGGAGGCCGGAAGATCTTACATGTATAACAGTATTTCAGTTTCACAATCTGGTTGTTTATCTGGAAATTCTTGATACGCGGGGGTGGTCGCTGGCCCTGGGGCACCGCGCCATTAGTAGCTTCTATAAATCAGTAAAGACAGTTCACATCAGTACTAGCCATTATTTGAGCCCCAAAATCTCAGCACCTCTCTAAAAGAAATGGGCATGATCAAAGGTTGCTAGGCCATAGTCTTCCCTAGGTGAGCATTTCCAGACTACTTTCTTTTTTTACATATAGATTTTTAAATTGTATTGTATTTATTTTCATTTTTTTATTTGCAAAGCAGAGATATAGAAATCTCTTATCTGCTGGTTCACTCCCCAAATGCCTTCAACAGTTCTGGCTAGGCCAGGCCAACCCAGCAGCCCAGAACCTAAACCAGATCTCTCACAGAGGTTCAGGGAACTCAAGCACTTGAGCCATCATTGGCTGCCTCCCAGGGTGCACATCAGCAGGAAGCTGCATCAGAACAGAGGAGCTGGGACTTGAACCATGTACTTTGATACAGGATGCCAGCACCTCAAAACACACTCACCCCCAGGCAAGACTTTTCACATCACACAGTGTCCCCTCCCAAAATTCCACTGCATGCCATGCAATTCTGTTGTACACATGTGAAAAAGTATTTCTTCTAGTTCTTTTTTATCTGATTGCAAAGAAAAAGACGATAAAAGAAAAAATGGCTAAAATATGAAATGAAAACCTATAACTTCATTAATAAAGAAATAAAAATTATGGGGCCGGCGCTACAGCACAGTGGATAAAGCTGCTGTCTGCAGTGCTGGCATCCCATATGGGCGCCGGTTCAAGATCCAGCTACACCACTTCCAATCCAGCTCCCTGTTAATGCACCTGGGGAAGCAGTGGAAGATGGCCCGAGTCCTTGGGCCCCTGCCAGCCATGTGGGAGACCCAGATGGAGTTCCAGGTTCCTGGCTTCTGCCTGGCCCAGCCCCAGCCATTGCAGCTATTTGGGGAGTGAACAGCAGATAGAAGATTTCTTTCTATATATACATCTCCCTCTCTGTTACTCTGCCTTTCAAATAAATAAAAATAAATCTTTTTAAAAAAATAAGATCAGGAACAGGCTTTTGGCCTAATGGTTAAGGCACCAGTTAAGATGCCCATCCGTATCACAGTGCCTGAGTTCAATTCCCAGGTCTGGCTCCCAGGTCTAGTTTTCTGCTAATGCAGACCCTAGGGGCTTCTGTCACCCACATGGGAGACCTGGATTGATTTCCCAGCTCTTGGCTTCAGCCCAGCCCAATACCAGCCCAGCCCCACCCCAGCCACTGCAGGCATTTAGGGAATGAAACAGCAGATGGGAGGTGCTTCACTCTCACTCTCTCTCTCTCTCTCTCTGAACCTCTCAAATAAATAAATAAAATGTTAAAAAAAATATACTTATCATAAAAAACATAAAACATAAAAAGGAAAGATAAAAATCACTGATAGTCTCTCAATTCAAATATTCATACATTTTAGTATATTTCCTTCTAATGTTCTCTTAACAGATAAGTAAATATGATTTTTAAAGTGTGAGATCATATTATAAATGAAATTTTTATCATGAATTATTTACATAACATTAGACTATAAATATTTACTTATGGTTATAAATTTTTTCTAAAATACCATTATTGGTAATATCCCATGATATGTATGTTCTGTGATTTATTTAACCATTCCAGATTGTTGGGCATTTAGTTGTCTCTGGTTTTTTATTAGTTAAAGGTTGTTGCACATAAAAACTCAGAACATTAAAGATAATAGTTTAAATCCCCTTTGATCACCACCCCAATCCAAGTCCCTTCCTCTATCCCCCAAGAATATATCCATGTGTTAAAATTAATTTCTAAAACAGAGAAAAAAAGAAAAGTATGTTGAAATCTGAGCAGTAATACATTAAGTTGCTGGCACTAGAACAACTACATTTATATTTAAAAAAGAAATGATGCACTAGAAATTCTTCTACAGTAATCTGTTAAAATTTTCTGATTATTTCCTTTAGCTAAACCCTCAGAGAGGCAGAATCACCGGGTCAAAGAGCATGAACCCTTAAAGCCCATGTTCCTTATTGCCAAACAGGTTCCCAGATAGAATGTATGAATTTGCATGCCTGTCCATCCACAGTATATGCGAGTGCCTGTTTGGTTGCACCCTTTCCATGCAGTATAATTCTAAAAACAGAATTTTTTTCTATTCACTTTGATTTTAAAAATATCTGCCATATGGAACATTTTTCCTTTTTTTGTGGAGTGGGGTGGATGCTGTGAAATCAAACAATAACAGTGTGTCAGTCTGAAAAGGATGGGGATTGCTATTCATTAGGAACTGGTATAAGCAGCAGCATGCCATCTTAATATTCCTTTGCATCTGCTTTACATGATGGCACCTGGGAGACAGGGGTCATGGTTCACCCTCCCCAGGAGGCCACCATGAGGCAAGAGCATCACATGACTTCTCTCTCCATTCTGCCACACACAGCATAGCCAGTACTGGGCTGAATATAAGCTGACAAAGGCTTCCTACCATAAACACACATGAACTCAAGAATGTACTTTTCTATTGAGAAACATGCTAAATGCGGAGGTCACACATGACAGCTTGACTCTGGGCCCCAGGCCCAGTGATGGGGTGGAAAAGAGCTAACCTTGTTAACAACCTGCTGTGAGAAGCAAGAGACAAGTAAAGGCACAGACTTGAACTCGGTTTCTCTGTATGTGAGAATAGACAGGGGATTATAAAAGAATAACCCAGATGAAGAAAAAAGAGCACTTATAACTCTCCCTCACTATCTTGCTCTTTACTACCTCCAGTTTCTGCCAGGCCTCCTGAGAACTCCAGCTGAGCTGATATACCTCACCTCTCCTTTCTCCCCACTATTCCCACCCTCACCCCACCCCTGAGTAGTTCTAGCTCAAAGGGGTATAAGCCGATTGCTCCTCAGCTCAACTAACAAAGGCTGGAATTTTTCAAAAAAGAAAATTAAGGGGGCCGGAGCTGTGGCATCATAGGTTAAGCAACCACCTGCAGTACGGGCATCCAATATGAGTGCCAGTTCAAGTCCTGGTTGTTCCACTTTTTTTTAAAGATGTATTTATTTATTTGAAAGGCAGAGCTACAGAAAGAGAGAAGGAGAGGCAGACAGAAAGACAGAGAGAGAGAGAGAGGTGTCTTCTATCTGTGGTTCACTCCCCAATTGGCTGCAACGGCCAGAGCTGCACCAATCCGAAGCCAGGAGCCAGGAGCTTCTTCCAGGTCTCCCACATGGATGCAGGGGCCCAAGCACTTGGGCCATCTTTTACTGTTTTCCCAGGCCATAGCAGAGCAGAATCAGAAGTGGAGCAGGCCGGGACTCGAACTGGCACCCATATGGGATGCCGGCACTGCAGGAGGCGGCTTTACCTGCTATACCACAGCACCGGCCCCTGCTCCAATTCTGATCCAGCTTCCTGCTGGTAGCCTGGGAAAGCAGTAGAAGATGGCCCAAGTGCTTGGGCCCCTGCACCCACGTGGGAGATACAAAAGAAGCTCCTGTCTCCTGGCTTCGGATCAACTCAGCTCCCGCCATTGCAGTCATTTGGGGAGTGAACCAGCAGATAGAAGACCTCTCTCTCTCTCTCTCTCTCTCTCTCTCTCTCTGTGTGTGTGTGTGTGTGTGTGTCTGTAACTCTGCCTCTCAAGTACATAAATAAATCTTTTAAAAAATAAATATTAAGAAGCTAGGGGAAGGGGCCAGCACTGTGGCATAGCAGGTAAAGCCACCACCTGCAGTGCCGGCATCCCATATGGGCACTGGTTCAAGTTCTGGCTGCTCTATTTCCAATCCAGCTCTCTGCTATGGCCTGGGAAAAGCAGTGGAGGATGGCCCAAGTCCTTGGGCCCCTGGACCCGTGTGGGAGACCCAGAAGAAACTCCTGGCTTCTGGCTTCAGATTGGCGCAGCTCTGGCTGTTGCGGCCATCTGGGGAGTGAACCAGTGGATGAAGGACCTCTCTCTGTCTCTCTCTCTCTCTCTCTCTCTCTCTGCCTCTCCTTCTCTCTTTGTGTAACTCTGACTTTCAAATAAATAAATAAATCTTAAAAAAAAAGAAGCTGGGGAAAACACACCTAAAATAAAAGAAATACAAAAGCAAAGAAGTCTTCAAAGTGACCTGAAAGAACTAAAGGCTAGCAGCCACACACTGTGCTTTACTGGCTGGGCATCTTGGACTAACAAGTCCCGGGTCCCTTTCTCCTACTCTGTCTGGCTTGCATGCCGACTCAAGCTACTGATGTACTGACCTTGAGAACCCCTCTGGTAGGCACTGTTGGTCTGGCAGGCTCCCCTCCCTCCTAGCTCTGACAGTACAGTCTTCTTTCCCACTGTAAGCTCCTAGGATACCCCCTCATCTAGGACTGGAGTGTTCAGCTTGAATTCTAGAAGCCACCCTGGTTCCTGAACACTGTAGCACTTCATCTCTGTCACCATGATTAATTTTTTTAGATTATTTATTCGGAAGGCAGAGTTACAGAGAGAAAGGGAGAGACACAGAGAGTAAGAACTCCCATCTGCTGGTTCACTCCCCAAATGGCTGCGACGGTCAGGGCTAGGCTGGGCCAGGAGTCAAGAGCTTCTCCCGGGTCTCCCACATGAATGCAGGGGCCCAAACACTTAAGTCATCTTCCACTGCTTTCCCAGGTGCATTAGCATGGAGCTGGATTGGAAGTGGAGCAGCCAGGACTGGAACTGGTGCCCATACAGGATGCCAGCGTTGCAGGTGGTGGCTTAACCCACTACATCACAATGCCACCCCTTGCCCCCACCAAGATTCTGACCTTGAACTGCAAACTGCACAGCCCTAAGACTGTAATTGCTTCCTTGACTCTCCTAGAAATCTCAGTGGTTCCTGGTGCCATAGCTATCCCTCTCACCTTGTGAGTCCTCCCTAAAGCAGTCATGGGCCAGGGAGCCCATGACTGTGCTTCAGAAGATCTATGAATCCCTGAAATTACATCCAAAATTGTGTGTATGCACATGCATATAAGAGTATTTTATGGGGATAAGGTTCACAGCTTTTATTCAAAAAATCAAGCATGTTGGTGACCCCCTAAAAAGCAAAAATCAATCCACTTGGGAACAATGCAGCAGGAGCTTGGTAACAAATCTTCCCGAAACACCGCCCAACACAGAGGAAGAACAAAACAGGTGACATTAGAATCTTACCACACCTGCCTTCTCAAATTCACTGGGTGGTCATGATCTCAGATTGAGGATCTCAGAGGGGAAAGGGTAGAAGTGACTATTTATCTGCAACTACTATTATGATTCCATTACCTAACTGATTAGGGCCACGCACTACACAGCAGCTTGCCAGCTGACTGGAAGACTCACCTATCTCCATTTCTATGAATGCTGCTTCATCTGGCAGGGCCCGGGGAATCACTCCAGGGTCACTGAAGCTTGTCCTCAATAGTGTAGCCATGGAGAAAAGGAACAGCATGGCAGCAAACACAGGTATGGCAGGAGACAGCTGAACAGCCAGGTAGCGGCACCTGAAGAAAGCATGTAATTCAACATTTAGGTCAACCTACCCTATACTGATCTCCAATTGTTACAAGTATGTCATTCTGGTCTCCACACAAAATTAACAGTACCTCTTGGGAAGAGATCATGTTATTTACTTCTTTTGAATTGTCTCAAACCCTTAACATAATAGGAGCTCAACAACTGTTTAATTGATTGGTATCAATACATCAGACAGAAGACAGTCTCAAGAACCACCCCCCCCCCCCGCCCCGCCATGCCCAGGCCCTCCCATCAGCCCACTTGGAGCCATATTTCCTCTACCTCAGGAAAGGCTCACACCTAGTAAGGACAGGGAAGCTATTGAGTCTGGATCTGCCAGCACCACAGGTTGATCTCATTTCGTGAATATCCAAGGCTTTTCATAGCCCTTATCTAGCACTAGGGCTGAGCAAAATGAGGAGGGAGAGAAGATGAGGACCAATCAGGAACAGGCTCACAGTGTCAGTCAGAGGCTGTCTAGCACGCATCAAGGCCAAAGAAAAGGTTCAGGGCCTCTGAGTGACTCTGCAAAGCCATTCTATGTATCCTCAAAATCACCAGCAAGGTGACAATCATATCTTCTTAGTACCCCTTCCTACCATTACGTTCACTGCTCTCTTGCCTCATAATGCACCTGGAAGGACATTCTTCTTTCTCCCTGGATAGCCCAACTCTACTCATCACAGAGGTCCTGGAGACATCAACACAATCATTGCCATCAACACAACTACAATTTATGGAGTGCTTACCATATACATGCCAGGCCACTACAATAAGCTCTGTAAGCATTCTCTCATCTGACTCATACTAAATCTAGGAGGTAGATTCCATTATACCCATTGGACAGATAAAGAATCTGGAACTGAAAGAAGGCTTCCCTCCTCTCCAAAAGGCCTATGCTAAACTGTACTAACTCTTCCCTCTCTACTCCTTGCAGTCTTCCTTGCCAGAGCCTATTTCCTAGCTGTTTCTCAGTATGTGGACTGCATCTCCCCCAGCTGGACGTCCTAAGAGCGAGAACCTGGTCGTCTTGGCTGAGAACACTTGGGTTCATATTCTGGCTCTACCAGCTGCTAATAGCGTGACCTAGTTCACTTCAATCTCCTTATCTGTAAAATGAGGGTAATAACAGTACTTCATGGGGTCACTGTGTGGAACAAATGCACTAACATAAATCAGGTGCTTAGAACTGACTTGACACATAGCAAATGCTAAGTAAATGTTAGCTATTAACATTATCATTATGATTTTATATTTCCCAGATTCCAGTACAAGTGAGGGAATAAAGAAGCTATCAATAAATACTTGTTGATCTGAGCTGAATTTAAAGTCAAATAAATTGAGAATGTATGATGAGAGTTATCACTGCCCTACTTCTATTCTCCTCCTCTTGAGGCACATTTCTCCTTGAAAACAGAAATCTTCACTTGGAGGCAGACTATAAGTGGATGAGCAAAGAGGAGAAGGAGAGCAGAGAAAATAAGCTAAGGAAAAAAGCTTACCTCATCAGCATGGGGAATAAGCAAGCTGCTTCCATTCAGAGCAAATGTTTAACCCCAGGTTGTATATTCACTGCAGTTTCAGAATTACTCCCATGAGATTTTCCTCCCCCCAATCCCAGTCTCCCTGCCACAAACAATTGCATGGGTAAGGGAGTGCAATCCAACTGTTATATTAGGCTAAGCACTTGGTGATGAAGGTGAATATATATAAACACACACACACACACACACACGTATATATAAAATCTGGAAAATGATTTTAGCAGCTTTTTTGCTTGCCTGCCTATTTGTTTTTAACAAGTCCTTAGTTTTACCTTGCTTTTTAAAGATTTACTTCCTTCTCCTAAAAGAATCGGAGAACTGAAGATCTGGCAGTGCATATCACTAGCCTATGGATTACACTCCTTTCCATTGTCCCCCTTCACTGATACAGACGTAATTAAACAGTGAATTCGGACAAGAAAATCATCTCCACTCATCAGGGACCCAAAGGACACCGGAGAAGCACGAGACTTTGTTTTTGTGAACAAGACAAGTGAAATCACCACACTGACTGAAAAAGAGCCTTCTTCCTAGTCACTGCCCATTGCTAAGTTTGCTCTTGAAGACAAAGAAGTAACGTCTTCAGGACTCAAACTGCCCTGGGTGTACAGTAATCTCCAATCAAAAGCCCTAGAAAAATCAGAGCTATCTGATTGGCCACCAAAGAGGATTTATTTTTTTTTATTAAAGGAAAAAGATACAGAGTAGAACAGCCGGGGGGGGGGGGGGGGAAATCCAAAATTAATGCATTAACCCATGCACAGAAAGACCAAAACTTTAGACCTAAGTCCAGTTCTGACACCTGCTTGTAGATCAGACAAAGGACAACTTAGATTTGAATTACGCTACACCACCAAGGATAAAGGTCTCTGTAAGCTCCACATAGACTATCTTCTGCACCTGCTAAAACAATTCACTCTGTATGTCAACAAGTACACAACAAGCCCATTGTATTGTTCTCCTCCAGAGATGAGGCTACTGGCAGCCAGTTGTCTCTAGTGAGTGGGTGTGGCTGGGAAGGCAGATGTGGAACCAGCAGGCCTTTCTACTCCAAGCAAGAGGAAAGTTTTAGAGCCACCGGCTGAAACTGTTGTAAACTACAACCCACAGTGTTTGTCTTCAATAGTTATGATTTTAAAATGTCCCCTAAGGCAGAGGGATTGGGGAGATGTTGGCCAAAGGACACAAAATCTCAGTAAGCAAGAGATATATTGCACATCACAGTGACTAGTTAATAGCAATGTATTGTATTCTTGAAAATTGCTAAAAAGAGTAGATTTTAAGTGTTCTCATCCCCCCAACATTATGAATATATGAGGTAATACATATGTTAATCTGTGTGATTCAGTCATTCCACAATGTATACATATTTCAAATCATATTGTATGATGTAATATATGAACTTTTATATGTCAATTTTTTAAACACTACCCTAGGGTAGTCTCGTAACTGCAGGAAGCTAGAGGTCTGCCTGACAGGAATAAGCTATTCGAGGATTTAGTGGTAATTTACAAAAGTAACCCCCCAAATTTAGGCATATCCTCAAACATCACAATTTGTCTTGGATAAAGACTGGATCTGTCATTCACCAATGTGAGCTAATTGTTTTTGAAACCCCTTAGTACTTTCCATATATCTCACTTCTTGGAATAATAACATCCATGCATTTCTCTAAACAGAACTCTCCTTTGTCTTCAAAGTACCAAGGAGCCTTCCTCCGTTCAGGGGTTAGAAGTTCCTATTCTCCCTTAGTAATTTTATAAATGCAACTGTGCCCCCACTAAGTCTGTATTTCAGCCACCCAAAGAAACATTATAATTTTAAGTGAACCTCTATCAAACTATTGACTGGCTTCAGGACTCCATAGCTAGTCTAACTGACTGGGCTCCTGCATGCCCCTATGGACCACATGGTGGCACAGACCAGCAGTAACCAGCAGTGCCAGGCTAGGATGGTGTGTCATGTTCCATCCCCCACCCTTAGCATGCCAGTTCAAGGAGGGATGATGATAATGACACAGACTTCAATTCAGATGAAAAAACTCAAGAGATTCATGACTGGAATTGGTTTAAAAAAAAAAACTCAAACAAATTCCACGGCAGGAGTATGCCTCACAGACTGGCAGCTTGGATTGGTGTTCTATACAATACTCTGCTCCTAAGTCTCTCCGATAACTTTCTTGCTATGGTTTTTGTTTGTCCTTTCATCAGGGAAATTAAACAGTAAGTATTTAACGGTCTAGCAAATGAAGAACAAGAGAAACAGGAGTCGATTTTGTTGGAAAAACATAAGTAATATATGAGACAGGCAAAGGATAATTTAAGACCAATATTTCAGTGGGAGAATGGTGATTCAGACTCTAAGGACTGTAAGCGGTCAGGAAAGAGATCTCTTGGGAGCTGGTAGCTGCTTGAAACTGCTCCAAGTGCAGCAGTTAAAAATGACTTTAAAGAACAGCAGATGTGCTGGAACAGCAGGAAGAGCCCGAGGATCAGACGCCTAGGATGCCCTTTAGTCCAATGTGATAGAAATAAGCCTTTGCTCTAAGTCCTACCTGATATGGGTGGCCAACTATCCTCTCATTTACTACTTACCTCCTGTGGACTGAATGTGTGTGTCCAGTGCAAATTCATGTTGAAATCTAAACCCCCAGGGGCCGGCGCTGTGGCGCAGCGGGTTAAAGCCCTGGCCTGAAGCACCAGCATCCCATGTGGGCACCAGTTCAAATCCCGGCTGCTCCACTTCTGATCCAACTCTCTGCTATGGCCTGGGAAAGCAGTTGAAGATGGCCCAAGTCCCTGGGCCCCTGCACCCGCCTGGGAGACCTGGAAGCTCTTGGCTCCTGGCTTCGGATGGGTGCAGCTCCGGCCATTGCGGCCATCTGGGGAGTGAACCAGCGGATGGAAGACCTCTCTCTGTCTCTAACTCTCTCTGTAACTCTTTCAAATAAATAAAAAAGAAAAAAATAAAAAAAAGAACTTAGAACAATTCCTTGCTGCCTATGATATTCAGACCCAAACTAGGGGCCAGGGCTGTGACATAGTGGGTCAAGTTGCCTCCCAAAGCACCAGCATCCTATATGGGTGAAGGTTTGAGTCCCGGCTGCTCCACTTCTGATCCAGCTCCCTGCTAATGCACCTGGGAAAGCAGCAGAGGATGGTCCAGATCCCCAGGCTCCTGCACCCATATGGGAGTCCCAGATGAAGCTCCTGGCTTTGGCCTGGTCTATCCCTGGCTGTTGTGGCCATTTGAGGAATGAACCAGAAGATGAAAGACACCTCTCTCTCTCTCTCTCTCCCCCTCTCCCTCTCCCTCTCCCTCTCCCTCTCCCTCTCCCTCTCCCTCTAACTCTTTCAAATAAATACATAAATCTTAAAAAAAAAGACTCAAACTAGGGGCTGACACTGTGGCACAGCAGGTTAAGCCACCACCTGCAATGGTGG